TCTTTTGGTCTTTCAGATTTTGAGCGTCGTCTGCATGCTCGTGGGCGTGTTTAGTTTCGTCTGCGCAGGGTCTCCGAAAAGCGAACATCCCTACATCAAGTCACCGTGGCCAGTCTGGGGTGTGTCCAGCTTTCTGCCTTGAGGCACGACCATCTCTGTTCTTGCTTCTGTGTCCCTTTAGCTCAGTCCCTTGTTCTTGAGCACTGGCGGCTCGCTTTGTACCACCCGCGGCTGACCCGTCGCCTCCTCTAATGACGTATCTGCAGGAAGATTAGCGTATACAAGATGTGCTTTTGTCGAAGTAAGCTGTAAAACGCGCGCTTTTAATTGCCTACACCAGCATCATCTTAGTGCCACACTTCTCGGTACCGATGTGTTTTTGTGACACGTCTGTCTGGCTTCCAAGCAGTTGGTCGGCTAGTGAGACAGACTGCAAAAGCGTATAATGTCAGTAGTTTTTGAGGGACCTTTCTTGTAAGACTATAGATGCAAAGTTTTTAGAAAAGGTAATTAAGGTATACGTTCAATTAAGTTAAACCGATTCCGTTTCGTATGATTACCCGACAGTACACACACACACACACACACACACACTTATATATATATATATATATATATATATATATATATATATATATATATATATATATATATATATATATATATATATATATATATATATATATATATATTATATATATATATATATATATCTGTAGTAGATGTTATATTGTGGATGTGAGGTCAATAGTTACCAGTTTTGTTGATCTGTCCGTCACCCTCAACAGGTTCCAATTTATTTTCGCTTGTTTAACGGACGCTTCAATTGGTAAATTGGTGAAGGTCAGCCACGGTGGTGTAGCGGTCAGAGTGCTCGGCTGCTGACAAGGAGGTCCAGGGTTCGATCCCAGCCGTGGCGGTCGTATTTTCATAGAGGCGGGTACTGTGCGAAGTGAGTAGACGAGAAAGAAGATCAGCTTGCCGAAACTTCCGGAGCCCTTCAATACGGAGTTTGACATCATATCGTGGTTTTGGGACAATAAAACCCCAGATGTTATATATCAATTTGCGAAGCAAGTTCTTTCTAGCTATTGGTTACAATGTAACTACCACGTTTTACAGCTCGTCGCTCTTTTCGCACGTACTACAATTTTAGGCGAGAGCATCCGAGCTGCAGTTTTATGTGATTTTTATTAGCTATAGGCTGCATATACAGTGGCTGCCCTCTATTCACTATACGAATAAGCCACTGCGCTGGACAGGGTCCTACCCTCCGAAAGAAATTCATTCTTTAGTTTGCGAAGTAGACGGAAGAAAAACATTTCCTGAATTTTATGTTTCTTTTGCTCGGGCGTGCGAAAAACGTGCGGACAATTGGATTGATTGATGACGTGCTGACGTTTGTTGACCAGTGACCTTTCGCGACTCAACGCCGTCGTGGTGGGGGACGTATACCCTTTGGAGTTTTTTTCCTTCGCAGTCTTCTTGAACGCCTTGCGCATCCCTTCTTCTTCGTGACTTTGGTGTCTCCCGTGTTATTTTAGGAGCAGCATTTGTCGAATTAATGGCAAAGAAAAGCATCCATCTGGGGGCCTGTCAACAGCAATCATGTCTCTGTCACTCACTGCCTTGTCTGTTTCTTTTCGCTGCTCTCTTGACTTCGTTTTGGGAGAGAAGTGAGGAGGCTCACTGGGAAGGGTATCACAGTGCCGGTACGTTACAGTGTCCAGTCTCTGTCGTTGTGTCGCTTTGTTGGATCCCCACAGCTCGCACTTTCATTGTGATTTCACTCTGTGAGTTCAGGTAGTGTGGTCTATGGCAGCTATCACGTACACCCCTGGTGATAGAGTTAGTTACTGTTGGCCAGATAATATCTCCAAATGGCTGCCTTCTTTGGGTGAAATACTACAACTGCAGGCCACAGGGTAGTTAGGAAGTTATAGTCTGTAAAAAAAGTCGCTTGTACGTTCAGCAACACACTCGTGATGTTTACTAACATAGATGAGTGCTGAGTTATGCAATGTGGGTCACGTGTCTTAATTCGTACCTCTTAACTAACGGGTGGTAAAACGCAGAAAAATGAGTTTAACGTACCACGACGTACACATTAAAAATCTTTATTAAGACTACTAAAACACAGACTCGCACATTAATCCATATCCAATTTCATGCAACTTCTTCTAAAACTACATGCTAACGAGGCAATCAGTAAATCAATTAACAATTTTATATTGCTGAATTTCTATTTAAAAGTGCCACAAGTTCTCTCATTCACCAAAGTATAGAAGTTAGACAACTTGACAAAAAAATTGTTATTGGAAACGAGGGTACTCATTCCACCGCACGGATTTCCCTCATGATATGCAATTTCTTAGGCGTTTTCTTTTTTTATATATAACTGACACCATGTAACTCAACAATACCGAACTGGCCACATTGATTTTCTCGATTGCATACTGCAGGATGCTTGTTTCATTCCTTGATGATAGTTTCATTGATATTAGGTTTGTCTATGGCACGCCATACTTGCCGAATCTACGGGAACACTGCGTATAACATCGTACGATTGACCATTCGTTCTCTCATTCTCAACACACTCGCTTCTTCATCCTTGTGCTAGCACCACATGGCTCTTTGGCAAAAAAGCAAATAAACAAACAAACAAACAAACAAGCAAACAAAAGCGTGGATGTATTTAAACTTTGACATCATCATACTACCTTACCCTGTTAAAGTATTAAACTGTGACAATTCAGAACGCTAGGTCAAGGGCCCGTCGGTGGCGCGTATTTTCGGCCCAAGGACCAAGGGTAGAAATACAGAAATAAAGAGAAAAGGAATAGGCAAAAAGGGGTCACATATGTCATGGCCTGTAATCGGCAGTTAAGAGGGTCAACTCTAAACGTTGAGGAAAGGTCACAAAAACATTCTTTTTTTTTTCCTGTCTTCTTTGGATCGTCATCATGAACTGGCCTAATGCCTCAGCAGGCTTAGTTCCTCTTCCTTGTAAAAAAACGAAATATAAAAAAGGAAGCAACGTTGCAAATGTTTGCGATCGTGGCATATCCAAACGTTGTTCTTTCTACTAGACTTCTTTTTTTTTTGCCCTCTTTTTTGTATTTTTCTGCTCCCGTTGCATCGAAGGCGACGTCTTCGCAAAATGGCTCCTTCGACGTCACTGTCATGTCTGCTTATACAGAAAAGTGAGGACCCCGACTGAAGAGCCGATGACAGCGTGGCAGCAGGCGTGCGCGGTAATCGCGTTAGCGTGTATCTCTTCGCTTACAACGAAAGAAAAAGGGAAAGAGAGAAAAACTGAGCTGATCCTTTGAAGTTCGTGTGTTGTTTCATCAGGGACTTCAGCGCGCTGTGGGGCGCTTTCGTTTTCGCATTCACCGTGTTTCTTCATTCATTTTGATCGTCCGCGCGCGTGTCACTCTTCTTCTCCTTCGTTGCGTCCGCTTCAGACTACGATTCAACGACGCAAGGAGGTGAAGGACGACGTTCGCGAAGAAGGCACTTGCGAAGAGACGGAGCATGATCCGAGCTCCAGAGGTCGTGATTTTCGCACCGCTCGTTGCCTGTATCTGTGCTGCTCGTTGGAAGTGGAGCAGAGCGGAGCGGGTGCCTGCACGCTAGGAAAGATACGATACACGGCTATCGCGTAACTCTTAGTGCCCTGTTGAAAGACGAGCCTCCCCCACCCCCTCCTCCCACCCATCTGTTTTGCACCGTTAGCGCTCGTCGAGGGCTTTGCGTTTGTCGCTATTGAAAAGAACGGGTGTGTGTAATATAAAAGGGCCCGTCTATGAAAAACATGGGTTTGAGCGAGCCTTTCTTGTCGTCTTTCGCCAAAGCAATGTTTACAACGTAATGACAGTTTAATGGGAGCTGCGAGTTACGGGGTGTGCGACTTTCGCTCTTCCTTCTTTTTTTCTCTAAGGTCATTTTGTAACACTGTTTGGCTTGGTCGGCTTTATACGCTTGCTGACGTTCCAGTACCAGACGCTTTTTTGTTAATCTGATGCGCAGCGATGCGGCTGAAGTACCCTTTGCGAATAAGTGGCTTCGACACATGCACATACGAAAAAAAATATAGAATGAACACGAATACAGGGGATGTAAAACGGATGAAGTCAAGCATCGATGTCACGTCTACGTCTGCACCTCATTAGAATGAAGAATTACGCAACAGCTGCTCCACTTTTGTTTATTAATGGTAATAAATGTTTAGGTTCCTCATTTATTCTTAATGTGAGCGTAAATCGTAAATCATGACGGTATTAAGAGCGCCCTCTTGATGCTGAGCGCGTTTTTGGTCGCTCGTGGTGCTCAACATTGTTCCTTTATTTGTTCGTTTGTGCGCGCACAGCGTTCTTATGAGTCGTGTGCACTGACGCAGTTTGTTGCCTTCCAGGGTTCACACACACGACCATGCGAGCTAATTTTGCCTTGATTTTTTGCTTTTTTTAATTTTGCGGCAGCAATTAAGTACGATCTTTTCTTAGTCTTTGCTTTCAGAACATGAACTTTTGTGAGCATTCGGCGAAAATATCGGGTATGTATTCCCCTGCCCTGAATAGAGCAGTTAGATCGTTTATGTGAACGTTCAGTGTTACAACAAAAATTCGGCAGGGATAGAATGCATTCATGCCTTCTACACATACCTCAACTCCATCACCCGCCCATTTGCCAACCACGATAAAGCATAGAGAGAGAAACAATAATGACCCGTGCTGTCTTTTCATTCAGTCATTTTCGAGACTGGTACCGCTAAGTCACGTAGCCCGATGGTTCACTTCGGTTTAGCGTTAAGGCGTAACTGAATAAGAATAAAAAAAAAACAGTTTGTAATGTAAAACACCAGTCTAAAGCCTTTCTAGTGCTGGCGCGGTTCTGATGTCAGTAACCTTGCTACTACGCATTGCAGTTTATTCGAACACGTGCCTTCGAGTATTTGCCCTGAACATTTGTCTTTTGTCTTTTTCCGCATTTTGCAGTTGGTGGAAGAGGAGAGCTTCAACGTGGTGTGTGACGAGGAGTGCCGGTTGCGAAAGGTAAGCAGCAGTACGACGCAGCACTTTCTCACTCTCCTACAGACCACGAGCGACGCACACACACATACACACCTTTCTAACGCGCACACACTCTTTGTTTGCCTCAGTAGCGCAGTCTGTGTTTGCACGCGCCAGCCTACGGCGAGCCCAAGAGCGGCGCGTCACCGTGACATTGAACTCAACCACACCTGTCTACCTCGGTGAGGCGACGCCGCCGAGACGGCTCGCCAAACCGACCTCAACTACGAATTACCGCCCTCCGTTTCGCGTCCTTTCTTCTTTTTCCTCGTCTACGGTGCTTTTGCGAGTGTGTGTGTGTATGTGTGCGTGTGCTTCCGAAGGGCACGGGTGTTCCTCGGCGAAGGAGCGCGAGTCGTCGCCGCCGCCTACGCCTGGTTCTCAAACATCGCGCCCGGTTTTTCGACGCGCCTTTGTTCTGAGGACTGAACACTTAACACCGGTTTTCTGCAAACTTCCTCCAGAGAATCTTCTTTTGGGCGTTGCGCATTGTGACCCTAAAGACCTGAAAAACGAAAAAAAAAATATAAGATGTAGGAGAGAGAGACAGAGAGAGGGCAGAAACATTAGGTGCCGTTCCCCATCGACTAGCTTCAAGCGAACGTCACACTGAGATAAGCAATGACGCTTTGTCTCATCGGCCGCCTTATAATTGTGTCCAGCCGTAAACTCTGGTAGTTATTTATTTATTATACATGAAAATAAAACAGTGTACCACACTCAAACAATTACAAGCGAAGTGTCCTGCAACTGTCCAGCACAGTCCGTTGAAACCGGGATGGCAAGCAGTCCCACGCGCAATTGCCTTCGCGAAACGGTAAATTGGAGTTTAAAAGATGAATAAGGGACGTACTTATTAACTACACAAAGGCTATGCTTGTTGATTTTGTGTAGAGATGTAGGTGATGTCAGCAGACGGAGGAGGGGAGGGATGCGTAGCCGCTGGACCACCTGTATACGCAGGCACATTTCAAGGGGCTTCTATGACGCCACTTGTTTTAATTTAGTGACCCGGGCTTCAGCAGCACCATTGGGCCGTGTACCTCCCTTAGAGCACAGGGATGGACCTTCTTTGCTCGCTCGAAAGTCGCGTTGGCTGCCACGCTTGCTAACTTTTTCTTTCTTTCTATCTTGCTTATATAGCGCACCCTTCTTGTTCGACGTTGTTTTTCTTGATCTTTTTTTCTTTATCTTTATCTCGAATCAAACATTATAAAGAAAATATCATTTACTTTTGCTACACTTAGCCTAAATAAAAGAAGGCCCACAAGATGACGGGCTTGCAATAAAAAAACGCAATATCTGTAAGCTTTTCAGTAAGGGATGCTTAATATATCGTAAGTTGGTGGCATCAAGAGGGCGATATTTAGTGAGCGCCTGCGATGTTCAGCGGTGGAGTCTCTGCTCTGAAAGAGACGGCGCCAGAACGTTGGTATTGCAACGAGGCTACAAGTGGAAACTCAATTCTACACGGAAGCTTTTTCACCCTTTTCTGCTTCCTTGCGTCTCTGGCGTCGCAGTCAGGTTCGGTGGTGCAGTGGTTACAGTGGCGTGCTGCTGACCCCCGAAATCGCGTATTCGGTTCCCGGCCACGGCATGCAACTTATGATGAAAGCAAAATGTCGAAGTTCCATGTACTGTCTACCGTCAACGCACCCTGAAGGACACCGGGTGGCCTCAGCTCCAGGAGCCGTTCACTACGGCGTGGTTCATAATCGTGTCGTTATTTTGGCACGTTCCGGATATCATTATTATTACTCTCTGGCGCCATGTCACGTGTGGGTTTCACCGATGTCGGTCACACGGAAAAGCGAATCATGAATACAGCATGCAAACGTACATGCAATACCTAACCTACCCTAACCTGAACAATGTATAGCCCTACTTTGTGTCTTGTAGATTCTATGATGAGGCATCGCTGCGCGTGTGCTATAGCTACTTGCCGGAAGAACCTGGCATCCTATAAAGTAACTGCATATGAGGCTGGAATCCTATAAAGTTACTGCATATTCTGCCTTAAGGTAGCATATACAATAACTCTACGTCATCCCTGATACCCTAGGAGGAGGTGGGGGGGGGGGGGGTGCGCAAAGTCAGTTATATACATTGACATAGTAGAGAGGAAGTGTTGTGACAAACCTAACTTCGTCCCCCCATCCCCTGAAGGGGAACCATTCGTGCACAAAAACGTGACTTATAGGGTTGTAGGAGATATCGGAGACCAAGCGCCCACTTTTTGCCGGTTCCCGCGTGCCAACATCGTCAAGCTTCCTGGCGAAAGCGAAAGGGGCGAAACGCAACAAAAAAGCGCGCGCGCGTGATCCGCGAGACACACATTCCGCGTGCATGCACGCGCGCAAACGGAAGATCGTGACCCCCGTGCGCTCGCGGTCTTAATAGGTCGGCTCTCCTGCTCTGCCCTCCCCCCTTCCCCTTTCACGCACAAAAACGAAGAACGAGGTTCAGGCTGCCTTTAGGGCGTATAGGGGTGCTCCATCCGGACGATATAAGAGAAACAAAGAAACGTGCTGGCGGCTTTGCCCACCCCCAGTTAGGCGCGATGAATAGAGACATAGAATTTGCGCTGGAAACTTGCCCAACAGCCGGCATCACGAAGGTTACTCAAGCGCTTTTCCAGTCCGTACTAAAAGATCCCGCCATCTGAAACCGCTGAGTTCGAGTGCGGTGAAAGACAACGGCGCGCGACTCGCGAGCATTATGAACCCGCCGCCAGCGCATGCCACGGAGCCACGCAATGCCCGACGCCAATTGTTCGCCGCGGCTTCCATGAGCTTGACTAGCTGGCGGTGTCACGCATTTCGCTATAGCCAGGAGTCTACTTCAAAATTTTTCGTTCCTTTCTTCTTCGTTTTGATGGCCGTGTCGTGAAACTTGGCTTTCTAGCCACGATGCGGGTCGCAATTTCGTCACCGCCGTGGGGTGGCACGAGGCGCAAGTCGGAGAGAAGGCGAGTTGTTTCTCCCAGTGAGGAAATCAATTCAAGCTGTCGTCAAATGACTGAAATTCTCGGGACGGCCAAGCAGTGTCACGAGTCTGATTGCAATGGCCTGTTTCTTCAAAGCAGGAATCTGGGTGGTACCGTGAGTATGTTTCTTTGAAAGGCCTTTGCACCAAACGTTAGCTGTATGCGGAATATAGGAATATATGCAGTTTGGCGCGCGAAAACATGCATATGAGCATAAAGTAGGCGGTAGTAGAAGTCTGAAAATATTTTGACTATTTGGTCTTCTTTAAGTTGCACAGTATACGCGGGCCTCTAACGTTCCTAGTTCGAAATGCGAACTTCGAGCCTGGAATTGAACCCTCGCCCTTTGGGTCTTCAGCCGAGTGCCGTAAGCATTGCGCCAACGAACCGAACACTGGACTGAACATATTGGGAACGCAGCGCGAAAAAAAAAAGCAGCACCCGATATTCAGAATACTGTTACTGCACCACTGCCACTTGAAAGCGTAGTTCGCAATGTTGGTAAAGGGGCTCACGTTCATGATGCCACTTCATTGCTGCTTTCACAAACAGCTCTAATGTTAGAAAAGTGATGTTTGAATGGATGTAGCTGCTTCATTCAACCTGTGTTGCCGTATACGTCATCAGCTACCACAAGCACACATGGACGATCATGCAACACCGCTTTCTTATGAGCACCAAGTACTGCAGGTCAAAGGTCAGCCTTGTAAAGCTATCGGCCTTGACTCGTTTAGTCACGAGGCTAGAACATTTCATCGCTACCGCATTTTAAGCCACAGCTCAAACAAAATACGTTGGAAAATAGGCCGTCCACACCATTGAGCACGTGTTTTTTTTTTTTTTTTTCTCTCATGTTGTCGGTTGATCATTTGTAAGCAGAAATCAGAAATCAGATCTCCGTTCAGCTTTTATAGGCAGAAATCGAGCAGCATACTGGTATACAACCCCCTTTGTTCAAACCGATGCACAGATGCCGCGTAGTCGCGTAAAGTCCAATCTCTGCACATGTTATGGTCACAAACATGCGTTTGTTCTTTCTCGAGGCATCTCTTCAGCCATGCCTCGGTAAGGGCCACCAGGACAGCATCCTCGTAGCCCACGCCACAGGCGCGAATTAAGGTTAAGGTCGCAGGCTCTCGTTATGCACTGCTCGCTAACAGCTGCACTCGTAGGGGCGTCGTGGTTAGTCGAGCCGACCTTATACTCTCTCCCTCCGAACCTCCTCCCTCTGCCGGTGTAACCAGCGGCCACCAAAGATTCGTATTTAAATTGGTAGCGCTGCGTCGCACGTCCGCGGCCAGCACAGAGAGGAGGAGAGTGGCAAGGCGAGAGAATGAGAGAGAAAGCTGGACGCGCTAATGGAGCACTTCCTCATTAGTCGCAATTGCGCGCCTCAGGGACCCGCTGCGACGCCTTGTCCTGCCGGTGCTTCAGTGTCGTGCGCGCAGCCCCGCCCAAATGAACCGATGGCCGGAACACCTCCCCTCTCCGCTTCTTTGTCTATGTCACTCGCCTTTTCCGTTCACTCGTCGCGCTAACGCTCTTTCCTTTGGCACTTCTCTAACGGTGATCTATACAGATTACCCAGTGGCACAAAGCTTGGAATGCGTTTACGTCGGTCGCCCCAGAAGCCAAGTGAAAGCCGCGGCAATCGATTCTCAGCGAGCTGTGCATGCCGCCGAGATGTGGTTACGGATCTCGGCTGCTGACCCGAATGCCACGTTTTCGATGCTGGCTGTGGCGGTCGCATTCCGATGACGGCAAAACGCTGGAGGCACGTGTACTGTATGATGTCGGTGCACAACAACCGATTGTCCTGGAGGCCTCCACTGCGGCGCCCCTCGTAATCACATAGTAGTTTGCGCCTGTCAGGCTTGAGGGTAGTTTTTTTCGGCTTGTATAAGGTCACACCAACTATTAATATAGCTGGGCTGCATAAGTGTAGCGCACTCTGTCTTACTACGCTTCAGTGCAAGGACTCCAGCTAGGTCTCCAG